GGGATAGAAACGACACATTCTGTATTCCATCATGGAAGAAGTTCAAGCATGTGAATGAAGGCAAAGATGTAACCTATCTTTTCAGTTTCTCTGATACTCCATTACTTAAGAATTTAGATATCCACAGATCAAAGTAATTAGTCTGCTACGTTATGTTTTATGTATGTTTTATGTTTAGTTTATGTATTTCTTTAATTTATGATACACAAGAATATGATTTTTCAACAAACCGTTTTTTAAAGGGGTGTTTGAAGTGAATCCGTTTGATGATCAAAAGTCGTGCAAATATCAAATCGGACGGATTTTTCTAACCGAACTATTAAAATGGGGTAAAAGTCGCTGTATACGTTATTAGATATGTCATTGTTGAGTGTAATATGGCTGCTGAAAAGAATAGTAATGAAAAAAACAAGAGGCAAAGAGTAGCCCTGGCTTGTGAAGGTTGTCGTCAGAGAAAAACCCGGTGTGATGGAGTTCAACCTATATGTGGGATATGCTTGAAGAGAAAAATTCCTTGTGTATATGGGAAGAAATATACAAGAGCTCATGTGAGTGTGGAATATGTTAAAAGCTTAGAGGAGAAGCTAGGTATTTTAACGAATGATAAAAATAGGTCTGTTGATATGAATCGTTCGTCTTCAATTATAAGTGAGGGTAACCTGAACGATAATGAGTCAGACAGAGGAGAATCAGTGGCTCATTCGGTAACAGGCTCTCAAGGTGTTACATATCCACATACACCTGTGTCAGATTCTCATGCCGGTACAGATCAAAAGTTACCGAAATCCAAGGATACTGCTATACAACCGAATGGCGGAACGTTTAATTTCAAAGAAGAAAATCTGGCGAGTGATGCTATGGGGGCTGGTTCCGGATCAACTACGAATGTAGCAAAAGATAAAGGTTTTTATGGAAGGTCAGCGGCTATGTCATTTATGAAGGAGCTTTTTGCTTCAGTTGATGATAAACCAGTAGATAACGTTGAACTGGCATCAGAAATACCAGCTATATATAGGATGAGTAGAAATGAAAAGGAAAGATCTAGTATTAGCTTGTCTGGAATAGTCGTGCCTCCTAGAAGTGTGGCCGATGGCTACGTTAAGAATTACTTCGAGTATGCTTATCCACTTTATCCATTTGTTCACAAACCAACATTTATGTCTGCATATGAAGAGATATGGTCTGGCGATGCAGATAGCTGTGAAGTAGACGAATTATTTTACTCCATATTAAACCTTATATTTGCTTTTGGGTATCGTTTATCGCCGTTGGGGGAACGCTTAGAAAAACATATAAGTGCCAATGTGTATTTTGAGAGATCACAAGAACTTTTGAAGTTTCATTTAATGGATTCTGGATCACTTTTGTTAATTCAAGCATTATTACTAACGGGTCAGTTTCTACAAGCTACAACACGGCTGGCCGGATGTTGGAATATAGTTGGCCTCGCAATACGGATCGCTCAGGGTTTGGGACTCCACGCGGAAAAAAGTATGTCGCCCAAAAGAAGCTATATAGAACAGGAAATTGAGAAGAGATTATGGGATGGCTGTTTATTGATGGATAAAATAGTCTCTATGACATTTGGGAGACCGTTGATGGCTGTCCTGGATCATGCACAGGAACCACCTGTTTATATAGATGATGAATTTATTACCGACACCAGTATAGCTTATCCTCCGAAAGAAAAAGCTTCAGTTTTGAGCTTTTTCTCTGAAACCGTGAAATTATATGATATATTGGCTGATATATTGAAGTTCTTTTATTCTGACACCAGCCCGGATTACGTCGATTTATTTGTGAGTATATTTAAGTTCCAAGAAAGGCTTTATGATTTTCAAGATAATATTCCAAATCATATTAAGTTTGAGACTTGCTTACAAGAATCTCCATATCAACGTCAGAGTATTGTGCTCCGAATTAGGTATTTACATTTGAAGATCATGCTCTACAGACCAATTTTATTTCCTAAGAATAGAGACAGGAAGAGAGATAATAGGATGAAACACGCAGAGCTATATGTTTCTAGTCAAAGATCTATATCTACATTGTGTGTGGAAACGGCTATGGAACTAATCAATTTGATTAGTCAATATAGATATGCCGATATAACTTTACTTCCAGCCGTCTGGTACAATAATTTTTATATTTACACTGCAACATCAGTTTTGTTAGCTGCGAGACTACAACCGTTTCTTCAGGACGAAGTGAATATGGATAAATTTGAATCAGCTTGGAACTTGGGATTGGAACTACTTGCATCATATCTGTCACGATCCACGTCGGCAGCACGCTGCATAAAAGTACTAGAAATGGTGAATGAAAAAATCAGACATAGTAGTCAACAGAAAGAGAATAATTTAAATCAAGCTGATTATGAAAATCAATCAAAAATAAGCCCGTCAGAAGTTCCATCAGATTTACTTCTTTCATTGATGTACGACACTCCAGGCTCATTTGCTGATCCATTTTCGTATTCAGGTGATATTGATCGATTTTTTGCATAAAATTCGAAAAGTTTAAGCTTAAGTATACTTATCACTTAAATATCTCAATAGATAAATTTCACGTTTATCGCAGCACAGCTGTTGAGATTATCTATTGTTATTATTAACATATAGCTTGAGAAAAGTTCTATATTAGTTTTAATTAAGTTATGTAAATATATTTTGAATAACTAAATTATATACCAGAGAATAAGTTAAACTATATATAAATCGTGTTTTCTTAGGTTATACACAGCTCATGCTTTAGTACGCGTACGCCTATGTCCAACTAAATGCGCCAATGCAGTGGGAACAAAGCCAAACACTACCATTAATCCAATCATTAGCCCAGCAGCCCCTGCATAAGAAAGAGTCTCGATCATTAAAGTAAGGTAGAATGGACCAATAAAACCGAAAACTTGGCGTACTAAGTTCAAGAATAAACCAATGTCAGACGCATATTCAGGGTGGGTATCAATGGCAAAAGCTGTCAAAACAGTTGCAATGATATCATTTCCTACTGCCATAATAGCAGCTCCTATCAAAGGTGATATGGTCCAGTGATTTTCTTTCACCCTATTTAAATAAATACCCCAGACTATCAATCCAACAATAACAAAGATGTATCCATTGTACGATACCCATAACCTATCAACAATCACCCTTTCACCACCTCTTTTCTTGTAACATATCGTCATCCACCAGTCAGAGACGTGACCAGAAAGTAACTCCCCAATAATTGACCCAACTATAAGTGCAATATAATGCAAACTTAATTGTTGAGCATTAAGATGAAACAACTCTCCAAAAGTCTGTGGCATTTCCACCACAAGAAGAATGTTTGCATAACAAAATGTTACGGATGCTGCTATGACTGCCATGCAAACATTAAAGCTGGCTGCTTGTTTCAATGGTCTTATAAAAAGAGACCAATGTAATTCATTCTGGGTCTGTTTGCAAAAGCCTAACCAATTCTTAATCCCCCCGTTAGTGCTTTTTGGAAGAACAGAGCTAGCCTCAGATTGTCTCACGTATACTGTTTCGTCTGCAAGTAACCATAAAATAAATTGTATGAAGTTCATAATTGCAAATGTGAAATAAATCCATTTCGTTCCAACATGGTATTGAACAAATCCCATGAAGAACGGGCCACCTGGTGTACCTATAATAAGCCCAAGAGACCACCAACCGTTCTTTTTACCTCTTTCATGTCGAAAGGCTAAATCACCTACAACAGAACTACCAGCAGAGACCCCGGTTGAAATAAAAAACGCTACTAAAACTCCAGTAGCCATTTGTTGCCCATAAGTAGTACAAAAACCACCACCAATATTTAATGCACAACATGCCAAGGCCGAGAACGTTAAAAACGGCCTTCTACCGTATGTGTTCATTATTGGAACCCAGAATAATGGAAGAATTCCTAAAACGCAAATTTGAGCAGAAGTGAAATAAGTACATTCATGAGGTGTCATTCCGTATGCTTCCGCCATAGGTTCGTAAGCAGGCGTAAGTCCTGCAGCCATAAATGTACTACTAAATGTTTGAAACGCAATTAAAATGATTTCATAATTTTTCTTCCATGTAGGCCAGTTAAGTGGATCACTAGGATCACTCGATGGGAGTGGATCCAACTGAACTGAACCATGTCTAGCCATAAGAAAATCATGGTGTTCAGAAGTAAGAGCTTGCGGCTCATTCACGATTTCATCATGGTACAGACTCAACTTTTCAATATCACTTGCTGTTACACTTGTCATATTGTAATTATCGAAAATTTATCTTTAGATTCTCGAGTGTTTGCACTCTTATATACTTTTCAGATATATCGACGGAATGCATTTCCTTTTGTTAAGCGCTTTTCCATGCGCATCAGACTCGACTACATGAATTATTTTATTTTGTAATCTGGGGGGAGGGCTATCGGAGTACCAACGGATGCATAACCCGATAACATTAGGAGTATAATTTTGCCGTTAAGATAGACACCACTTTTAGATTTCCGATAAAATCTTTAGCACGTGACTAAATATTGGCAGAAGCTGACAATTTGAATGATCCCCTCACCAGCACACAAGCAATTACGAAGTACAAGAAATTAAATGCAAGTAAGTAGAATAATAATATAGGTACTTTATTCAAAAATGTGTGTATCGAAAGCTGCGAAACGTAGCGCTAGTACCGATAAAATCTATTTACTGGCCTATAATGAGGTATCTATAAACTAATCAGTAAACGCATCCCAACCAAATAACCATCTTTGGAATTCGCTATCGGACCATTGGTCCGGATTATGTCCATCTCTGGCTTTCATGAGGGCATCTCTTTCTTCTTGCTCTTCCCCATCTGGTAAATGCCAGATATGAGCATTCTTAGCAGCACCAGCCTTGATGGTATCAGCTCTCTTCTTTCTCAATCTTTCAAAACCTCTGAGGGCAGATGGAATATCATCGGTTGAAGAACATTTGCTCAATTCTTCAGCTAATCTACAACCGTCTTCAATAGCTTGAGCAGCACCTTGAGCCAAGTATGGCAACATAGCATGAGCAGCATCACCAATGATGACAACCTTTCCGCTATCACTCACCCAACGTGGAAGCATTGGCAAATCAGCAAGGACCCATTTAAGCACAGAGTTGACGTGAGTAAGAAGTTGACGAACAATTGGATCAAAGTGATTATAGTGGGCTTTCATTTCTTCAAGGTTACCAGGCTCACTCCATTTTCCAATAGAAGCTTTTCCGGGGTGAGACATAACCATGTTGTATAACTCACCATTTCTAATTGGATATGCCATGACGTGTCTTCTATAACCGATCCAACAGTTCGAGTTGATATCGGACATGAGATGGGCAACAAGTGGATCAGCTAACATCTCGGCTCTTGGAATAGTAGCACGGAAAGCACAGTTGGTAGAAGGGGTTGGTTGAACTGTTTCACTTGTAACCACTGCAGTATCACGAACTACAGAACGAATACCATCAGCACCGACGATAACATCAGCTGAATAAACCTCACCAGACGCGGTTGTAACGGTAATAGCTTCTTGGTCGACGGATACAGCTCTGGAATTAGTCTTATAAGCAATACCCATTTCAGTGGCTGCTTCATATAATAATCTAATGTAATCAGCACGATGAATCAATAAATATGGATAGCCGTAGTTATCAGTCATATCTGGGTCTAATGGTGTACGACTAATAATTTCACCAGTGTTGTATCTTCTGAGATTAATATTCTTTGGCTTGGTAATGAATGGTAAAAATTTGTCCAAGAGTCCGTATTTCTCAAGAATTTTGACACTGTTAGGAGGAATCTGAATACCAGCACCAACTTCGTTTAACTGCGATGCACCTTCAAGAATGGTAACATTATGTCCTTTTCTTTTTAAGCCAATGGCACAGGCAATACCACCGAGACCACCACCGCAAACAATAACGTTAAATTGAACCATATTTTTATTTAATAAATAACTAATGGAATGAAAGAATAGATTTTGATACAAATAGACATATCTTAAGAGATTGGTCCATCCATATATAGACGTCTTGTTATCGGATCTTGTAACCGCGATTCCTAGAATTCGGCTCTAACTTCCTGGTACTATCACCGCGTATTCTCTGTTTATATGAATGATGAAGGGACTCGGTTTGTTGCCAGTTCTAGTCAAACGGAACGATAACCCGTACGAAGTCTATTTGAGTCGAGATTTTTGAGTCAAACCATGATAACTTCGCACAATATTAATCCATCATGAGCTTATTTGCTCATAAATTGTTGTGGGCATCTTACATAATCCTTAGCAAAATGTTCCTCCTAGTAAAAATTGTACGTCTCTTAATGGCTAGGTAACAACGTTGAAAACTTCATAGTCGGCGATAGAAAATGATTGCAATCATGTATAGAAACGATAAGTAGGTCATAACTATCATCCTAATAAATTATTTCTGCTGCGGACTTCGCAAATTTCATGAAAAACGGATTAGTTGGTGCGGCTTGGTTGCAGAATCAACCCCACAGGATAGGAATTTAAAATATTCTGATTTTCAAATTTACATATTGCAGCATCGAGAGCAGAGTGTCGATAAAAGCAAAATAGTGGTTAGGAATACACGTGGATACGCGAATGGAAGAGTATAGAAGTTTTAATAAAAAGTGCTCAATTTCTTGATGATGACATAAAATCTGCCTGACCTCTTTGGCACAATCCTGCTACCATAAATTCGTTCAGGAATTTAATATATTACTCAATATAAAATCGACGGCAAAAAGTGCCGACATAATGGAATATATACCCGTCATTCCAACTCCCAGAATTGTTTCTGCGAATCCGATGATATATTGCTCAACGGAAATCTGTTCACGGATAGTAGTTCCTTAAGTTTGGTTGTAACACGTCCATTTGCAATACAGTCCATACTAATTTCTAGATATATATATTCCAAATATCCATAACAGAAGTTAATTAGAAATATCTATCTATACGATTATTTTAAACATGTCAACACTTATTTCAAAAGGAGACTGCCAATGCGGTGCAATTAAAATTAGCTTCAAAGGCGAACCAGTTAAATCTTTTGTCTGCTATTGCGTTGACTGCCGTAAAGGTTCAGGCCATTTGGGCCAAATGTTATCATACTACAACACAAGTGACGTTGAAATTACGGATAGTCAATCGTGCTTGAAGGAGTTTGTTGTAACCAATACAAAATCTGGTTCTCCAAAGAAGAAGGAATTCTGCGGAAATTGCGGTTCAACCATCCGTACTCTACCAATGAAGTACAACGGTGAGGTTTCGATGGTGAGACCAACTCTTCTTGATGAGAACTTTACCATGTGCGCACCTAAGATCGCAATATTTGGAGATTCAAAGACAGAATTTATTGAAGGGGTAGAAAGTGAATTCTTTTGAGAACAAAATTAATTTAATTATTTTAGGTTTTAGGTACATAGGGAATAAAATTAATGATACTCTAAATATTACTTCTCTATGCATTAAGGTCGGTTTATTTGAAAATAAATCAAACATATAACGTTTTAATGCAATTTTGAATCTCTTGGCGCAAATAATCGTCTATTTAATCTATCATATATAACTTTGATAATCCATATTTATCACCTAGACAAAGTCCATCTTGTTGGAAAGAGTACCGATTTGCTCGATAGAAACTTCAACTACGTCTCCGTTGTTCAAGT